GATGTTTATGAAACCATGTGAGTAGGTTAGTTTACCCGAGTCCGAGTGTTGTCGCATTGGTGCTTGTCCTTTCTGCGCCAATGGTCTGTCTTGTCATGCTAGTGGGCCAGTCATCATAAAGCCTTGCTCAAACCAACCCTGAATCTTGACAGTGGCCGAAGCCCTCAACACCCAACACACCCAGGGGCCTGACCACCAAGCCGGACCACGTCTTGCAATGCCAGCCAAGCTAATGCAGGACCTGCGCCCAGGATCAGTCATGATCTTTTAGGCCCCTCAAGCAAATAAGCCGCGCAAATCATAACAGGGATATGGTATATGTTTGTATGTACATACAGCGTGCGAGGTCTAGAACAAGCTTGCATGTTCCTGAGGGTCCAGATTGAACCATGGGTTTTCCCTTCGATCCCCTCCTGTCGGCCACGGATCGGGAGCTCGAGACCCTGCTTGCTTCCTGGCATTTCACAGACGACCGTCAGCTTGAAAACCGGTTCCGTGTCAGTTTCAGGGAGGGCGCAGTACAGTAGTACAGTCTGGAAACTTGGCATATGAAGTGGGGACCGTTCGTGGCGGAATCCTCTATCCTATATCCTTGTCCTGAAGTGAAAGAGGACCATGAATGACTGAGCTTTCTGGCGTCGGCTCTGGGAGTTTTCGGAGTTGGGGGCAACATAAATCGAAGTTCCGGTGCATTCGCCCGACCTGAGACGCTAATAAAGCAGAAGGTTTGTCTTCGGCCACATATCCACAGCCCTTGTTGGGAATGTCCTGGCTGTGCGAGGCGAAGCCCACAGCTTCAGAGTGAGAGTGTAAGTCCGTTCTTCTGGAAACCTCACGGCGCAACCAAACACAAGATCTCAAGAGGACGTCATGATGTTGCAGAAGCCTGACACGGACAGCGTAGTGCCATAATGGATTCGCTTGATTGTTCGGAACCCTAAGCCTACTCGCTAAACCTCAAACCAGGCCCCGCTGCTCCCTTCCTGGCGAAAGCAGCCTGCCTATGCCACCAAGGCACCGGGGCATCACGGTTCAGGGTCAAATGATGTCTAGTGAAGGAGCTTCAACCAGCGCTTGTCTCATTTATACATGCTGGTGTGCGGTCTACCATGTTGTACTACACACTTCAGTGTCAGTGAAGCCAGGATTGGCGAAGGATTGCCACCTACATACTGAGATGTACGCGCAGTCTTGCTCCTCTCCCTGCACACAGCACATCCGAATATACTCAATCTCCCTCGCAGCTCTCTCTCTCTCTCTCTCGCTCTCTCGCTCGCTGTGCACGGTCCGGAGCTCCAATAGAAAAGCTGATTCGTGGAATCCTCGTGCCAGGCCAAGGTTTCGCGAGTGTACAAGTACCCGATGTACACCAGTAAGACAATAAGAATCTGCAGCCGGCACACCGCAAACACCCGAACTTATAAGCATGAAAGCCTCGAGCACCCACATTCACATCCCTTAATGCAATGCAATGCCAGGCGCTGTCTGCCCTTGCCCAGGCCAGGGGGTGCAGGGAGCTGCAAAAACTCAATTGCTCAACATCTCGGGCCCGTGCTGGAACTGAAGTGCTAGCGGACCTGCCTTCCGGCGGCAGGCCGTATAGGCAAGAGAGAAAGAGAGAGACATTGCGCGGGAGCTTCGGCTCCTTGTCCGAGTGCAAGCAAACAGAGAGGGAATGAATGCTCCCGCCTCACACCCCGAGCAAAGCAAAGAGGGAATGAATCCCTCACTGAGGTGAGTGGTGCACTTGTAACTTGTAAGGCAAGTAAGTCCCTTTCGAGCAGAAGGCAGTTCATGTTGCTTGGCGTATGTTTTTATTCAGTCCTGGTCCGGCAAAGCTGGTGGATTTTCTCAAATTCATGCACGTGTGTGTGTGTGTGCTGATGGAGATCCTCAGGGGAAGACTATGGCGAATTTATACGTGCCTGTAACCTCCAGAACAGAATCTTTGTTACAGTTATCACTCGCTCTCACAGCCCCAACAACAAAGGGCGGCCCAGGTGGCCGGGGGCCCGACAAGCCCCTCCGGCAGATCGTTTCAGAAAGAGTGTGTGTATATATATATATACATACATATTCGAGATATTTGAGTGGACTCGTTCTTTTCCAGTAATAGAAGATGTTACATGCATACATACATACATTCATACATTCATACATTCATACATACATACATACATACAAAATACAAAATACATACATACAAAATGCGTACATATATATATATATATATATATATATATATATATTAAGTGTAATCAATACTTTATTTTTTGGGGTGTAAGTGCTCGTTTGCTTTCCTCTGCCCTCCATGCCAGCTCCTCAGGGCAGGAGTTGGCAAGGACCCCAAGGCATTTCCTGCGAAGAGGACCAGGGTAGCCAGGGGAGCTGCGCAACCGGGACAGCAACGTCGGGTTCATGCCGAGACATGGACGGTCTAAGAGTATAACATGGGTGCTGCTGTTGCAAAGAACCCAATAAGACGGAGAGAGATGGGAGAGAGGGATATGTCATACGGGTACATGGCAAGTTGTTGTATACATATAGATAAATGCATGCATGCATGCATGCATGGCATATATACGTAGAGTCATAGAGGGAGCCAGCATGAGCCAGGGAGACAGTCAGGAGGTAGGTAGCTTCATTTTATCGGCTCTCCCACACCTTGAGGCTCAGCCAGCGAACATGGTATGGCGAGTGGTTCAGATGATGCGCCAGGCCTGGGGCGGGGTAAGGAACGAAGAGGTTGTACCTTGTGCTGGAATTGTTTGCACAATCCTCCTATCCATGCGTTGACAACCATAAACGTTCGATGGAATGCAGCTCCATGAGTACCGTACACTACCCTGTGAGCAGCATCCGGCCAGCAGTCTGCGAAAGGAAAGGACATCCCACCCTGATTGTTAAGCTGCATAGCTTTCCGCTCTTGCTTCATGAGTAGGTCTTGCCAGGCCCAAGTCGAATTGTTCGATTGTTTGTGTCTTAAGAAGCGGTACAAACTGCTTCTGTTGCAGGGATCAGTCTTGGGCCCTTGGTGCGGCTGGGAACAAACACCCCGAATCCGCAAAAACATCATTGGCTCAGAATTTTGTCATTCGCAGCTGGACCCGCTGTTGTCATGATGCGTATATTTGTATGCATACATATATATATATACATACACATATATCACGCTTTTCGGGCAGTCACCAGTGTGGACTCGCACTAGGAAACGGGATTGAGCCAGCGAAGGAAAAGCTGTCCCGCTCCTTCGACAAAATCAAAACGATGGCACATGGACGATGCTTGAATATGCACGGCAAGCAAATGGTGCTTCGTATTCCGTACCCGGTGATCAAAGCACCACACAAAATACGACCCACATATCGGATCTTGAGAAATGTAGGATCTTCCTCATGGTATCAGATGAGGCCATCGCCACACGATTAAGATACCCAGGATGTCTAAACGAAACACCTTAATCGAGGTGATATTGGGACATCAAACTCAACAGCTGCATGAAGGTCGTAGAACCTCCACGCTCATAGATACAGCGCTCTGGCAGCGCTCTTTGTCTCAGAAGCTGCTAAGTCTGGATGGCAGAGTCGGGGTCATCAGATCGAACACCTCATCGTTTGTGCATCACCCATCTCCTTAAGACTTGCAGTAGTTGCCAGCTTTCCGCTTGATAATCCAAACGCCCTCGCCGGACGAGCATCTGTTCTGCTTGATTCCGCGCAGCTGGAAGGCCCTCGTTTTCTTGACACCAGCCGCAAACTCTTCTACGGTGAAGCGTGCGAGCGTGTCCTCCAAACCTATGATGCTCAAAACGGCCACCCTGCACAGCATGTCCTTCGAGCCCATATTAAACACCACCACATCCGGTGAAGGGCATGAGCTGCCAGGCTGCCGCCTGTGATCCAGATGCCTTCGTACGACGAGCCTCTGCTCTGCTTGATGCCGCGCAGCTGAAAAGCCGGCCTCTTCTTGAAACCAGTCACAAACTCATCTGCTGTGTAGTCTGCGAGCATATCCTCCGAACGAATGCTCGACAAAGTCACATGCCACAGTGTGTCGTTTGCGTTCATGATCGCCATCATGTCGGGTGCTGGCAAAACCTGAATGCCCAGCTTGTGCATGGCACACTTGCCGCTATGCACTGCTTGCCCGCAGCCGGCAGACGCACCCACGGCGGGTGCTGGGGCCTTCAATATTCCTTCCCTGCGCAGGCGATTTGGGCCTTGCATACAAATACACACACACACACACATATATATATATATATATATATATATATTATACATTTATACACTTATGTTTATGTACATATGCTCACCTTGCATTCCCCGCCCCCCCACTCCTCCCGAGAGCTAATGGCCTAAGCCGTGCCACAGTGCGGTAAGGCACCCGGCAGGGCGGGGGATGACCACGCACAAGAAATTGAGGTGCATTCCAATCTGTGCTTGTACTTTTAAATAAAAGAGGGTGCGTCTTTTTAGATGTTCATTTCTCAAGTATTGGCACAAATGTTGTCATGAACAGGCACATAGGAGTCAAAGTGAACCCAACAACCCGTTAAAACCCGTTAGAGGCGGATGTTCAAACGAACGTCTTCCACTACAGCGCCGCCGTGAATGCTTGCCCCTGGTCGAATCTGAAGTTTCAGGTTGTTTAAGTTTGCGTTTTCGACAGGTACGCTCGCCGGCTTTGGAGTTTGCTCACTCTTGAGGAGCGCAAAAAGCTCCAGGATTTTTTCATAGCTGAAGATCATACACCCAGTATACAGTCTATACACAGCCAGAGTCAAACTGAGACATCCCCTGGACCAGCTACGTAAGCACAGAGAGCCTGTCCCGAAGCGCGAAACACCTAAAGCTTTCGAGCTCCTAACAAGCTCAAAAGCCGCCACGTGTGCCAGGAAGCAAAAAACTCCCAAACTGCCCTGGGGATTCGAGCTTCTCGGAGGCTCCCGCGGGAAGCCCAATGTGAACTGGCCACTTGCTCTGGTAATCTTGGAAGACATGGAGGCTCCGGAAGGTTCAGGGTCCAGGATATGTAGGGTCCAACATAGGGCTTAATGAGAGTGAGAGATGTTTCAGGCCCAGGTTCGCTCTTAGAAGACAGAGTCATCTAGGGACACAGGTCAAGAAAGGCATGCAAATGTGGGCGCACTTCAAGGGTGGTTGTATGCCTTGTGTCATGCACGTTTTAGATTACATCCGGGATTCGAGGTTTGGGTGTTCATTTGCAGGATGCTTGTTGTGCCGTCTGTTGCCTTTGGCTCGATTGTCTTGGGCATGTATCGCATTGGGTGCTACTGGTGGGATCCTGCTTCGTTTTTCCTGTGGTCGGGCCCATAATAGCGCGCCGGTGAAAGGACAACGACCAACATGACCCTAATCAGCAGACGATAGTTCGGCTTGGGCACGGACTTTGGGTCACAGGTTTGGGTGCGCGAGTCACGGAAAGAAATGACTCATCCCAGCTTTGGGGTGGTGACTTTCATCCGGCTGCACGTTCAGAGTTGGTGGTCGCCATTTGTAGAGCCTTCCCCATTTATACCCGAGCGGAGTTTGCAAGAGAACCTTTTCATTAAGTATAAGTTGTCTTTGACAAGATACACTACCCATGCGTATCTGCGTTGCAGGCAGCCACAACTACACCGAACTCTGTCACACTCAATTCTGCCATCTCAGTCTGTGAGAAGGCACGATCCAGCTGGGAGAAACGTTTTTGGGTTTTGCATGTCAGGGCTTTCTGCTTCGGGTGCAGAGTTTCGTGGCATGGGACAATGAAAGCTTCAGCTTTTGCCGAAATGGTATGAGCCCAGCTTGAAGGTTTGACTTGAAGCACAGGCTGAATCCAGCGTGGAGGACCTTCGACAAATGCCGTATTTTTGTGCACATCCTGTAGAAATTAAGATTGGGGATATGTCCCCCAAACACTCTTGCGCTTCCCGTGTATGAGCAAGCTTCGGGGCAGTAGCCTCACCTAGAAAGACTGGTGGGTATTCAGGGTATAGGCCGTCTATAGAGTACATAACTTGCTGTGTTTTCTTAAGCTTGATTGTTCGAATTCGAGTTAAAAGCATCCAACTCATGAATTAAGGGCATCCAACTCATTAAAAAGCTGGGCAAGAGCATCACTGACTTGAATTTTATACGCCCTGAATTTGCAAGGTGCCCCTTCGCCCATGCAAAACCAGTCTGGACAGAGAGATGAGAAAGGAACGGTATTTGTAGGCGCTGAGGCTTCCATGCTCGCATGGATTTACGCAATATATGCCCTCATGTTAAATCCTGAAGTGCCAGGGTGGGCAATGGGCCCGTGCTTTGGACCTTTTCGAGCAACTCCCTGGGCTGCAAGTGGCTACAGATGTTGTGCTTTGGCTGGCTGTGTTTCTGTGACTTCTTGCGCATGTCACGGGATTCTTTCTTGGTTCCGGATTGCTTCCCTTGGTCTAGCGGTTCAAGATCCGGCCCCTGATCTCAAGAGGTGCAAAAGTTGCACGTTCCATCACGCTCCGTAGCACTGGAGACGTAGCATTCGACAGCTGGAGTGCCACGGGGTCGTGCAAACAGTTGGCTGCGGGCAAGTTCTGCCAGACGATCGTTCGGCCGCAATGGGGTTACGATCTCCGATTTCCGGAGATCCTTCAGGTCTGGTCTTCCCAGGACTGCGGCTTAATAGGGCTTGGGGATAAACACAGCATCATGATGTTGTGAACCTCAATTCTGCGCTGGTGGTTGGGAACCCTACAGCAAAACAGCACTCACAGAGTTGGGTTTTATAAGGTCTTGGCCTAGGCCTGATTGGGGGTCGGACGTGATGCAGGTAAGCTTCACAGGCGCCATCAACGGCTGCGCCAGGGTTTCAAGCTGGCAGATGGCCTTGTGCCTTCTCTGGTCAATGGCAGATGCCTCTGTGCTACTCGTCTCAAACATCACCTGGAACCCTTCGGCGCAGAAGGTCTTACCTCAAGCGCATCCAGGACGCCAGCATGTTGACCTGTGTTGCCCAAGCTTTTTCGAGTACTGATGCCAGCTCTTGCTTTCAATGCATCGAAAGTGAGAGCCTTCCTGCTCCAGCACAGTCCCTTTGTACGGAAAGCTTTCGAAACACTGTTGACCTGCAGCGTAATTAATTATTAGGCATAAGTACGCCTGTAAGAGTCGTCCCCGATACCCCGAACCACTCGAGGCCCTCTAAAAGCCCCACATCCTAACCTGCGCATGTTGGAGCCTGCCCAGCCTACACTAACAGTTCAGGTCTCCCAACATCCGCAGCTACAACGGTGCTATGGCTGCTTGCGTAGCCGAGGCCCGGTCTCGCTTCGTTTCAATTGGGAGTAGGCCGCTGTTAACCCGGGTAGTGCCGAATCCGCACATCTGCAGCTTGCATAATGCCAGTGGAAGCCCTTTCCCCGAATCTGCTCTGCGAGCCCTTAAAACACCCACGACTGTCGAAGGGACACTGGGAGCTGGCTTTGCATCTTCTGTGGTTGCTGCCATCGGAATCTCTGGACTTGTACTTGGCCTGCAGGTTTGAAGTTGAGTTTTTCGGCCTCGGTGTCTTGACTACCAGGGGTTAAACTGACCGCAATCTGCGGTCGTTTCGTCGACCAATGTAAATTTCACTTAGCTTGCTGCGCTGATGGTGCGTGGCTTTGCTTCTTCTCTTATGTTCTCGCAATGATTGATCACGGCCATTCTCCATTATTCCTGGTGGTTGCCTTAGGCTTATGTAGAATGTAGGCAGCTCTCAGCGCCTGGTTTCTCATGTTGGCTTGCGTGCTGCGCCTTTTGCACGCCTGCCTGCGTTGTCTCTATAAATTACTCCAGGCATCTGTAAGTTCTGCAGTAAGGGGCCTTGGCACCCAGGGAACCGCGTTTTGAGCAGAGAGGGCTCTTCCTGAACCTTGCGGGGCTGCAGAGCGAGACTTGAGGTATGCTGCCTGGATCTCCGGGTGCATGGGATGTGTGATGCGGGTGGGTGTTTTGCTGCAGGCCAAGGTTCTTGTCTTGAGTTCATTCGTCTTTGGACAGAATCCAAAACGGAGTGGGAAGACTAGCGGCTAGGGTTGCTGTGCTACATCAGAGTACTACTCGATCACAGGAATGCGATCAGCTTCAACACGGCCATGAATGCTTGTGACAAGGGCGGCCAGTGGCAAGCGGAAGCTTGGTCCAACGATTTCAACCCTAATCCCCCAAGTCCCAAACCTGATGGACTATGTGGAGCCTTGCCTGCCCTGTGCGAGAGTGAGCGTCGAAACCTTTCTTCAGCATTGTCTCTGCGGGATGTTTCGACTTCCGGCGGGTGGTGCATGCTCTGCCAAGATCCACAGCTTATGGTCAATGAGGAAGCATTGTTTGAGCTTAATTTGTCAGTGAGATCGGTACACTCAGACTCTGTCGAGTTGAAGCATTTCATATACATCATGACAAAACCCTGAGTTCTAAATATCCGCCCACAGACGTGTTGTCCTGAAGGCCCCCCCCTGCTCCACATAAAGGACCGGGCGGCAGGGGCGGCAGGAGGGGGAGGTCACGACTCACCCCGCCCACCTATCCCATCATCATCACCAACATCATGGCCATGATCGCGACAACGATGACGGCATCATGAGGGTGACAGAGTAGTAGGGACATGGTGAGTATATCCGACGAGAGTGCTGATACCTCCAGGCCCTTCAACTCATGGACGCCATGACCGCCTACCGCCCTCAACCCACAGCGGTATCCTTCGGTTCTGCCGGCCTTTTCTTAAATCTAACTTCGGAATTGGTTCAGGGAGCACAGCAGGTTGGAGCTTGGAAGATGCTGTGCGTACATGGTTTAGGGGTTTGGGGTCTAAATTCGGGCTGCTGGATGTGAGACATGGTGCAAAAAGGGTTTACATTCAAGGTTCACACAATGGCTGACGTGACAGCAGCCTTGGCCCGTAGCGTAGTCTGGAGATGACGCGAGCATCGTGTCAACGTGCGTCAGTGTGCAAAGCCTCAGCAGTATTGTCCTAGCATGGTAGCCTTGAGCTGGGTCGTTCAGCTGTAGATCTTTCCGCCTTCTCAAGTCAATGTTGCTTTGTCGTCTATCCTTTGAAGATCTGATCACCTGAACAATGTCCTCTGCAGCAGCAATATGCATATGCGAAGAAGAAGATCAGTATGCGGATTGACTCGACGTTCATTCCGCAGCTTGTCTTTCTCGGTGAGCTTTGCTGGTACACTGCTTGAACCTCAACTTTCATTTGCAGCTGTGCTCGTGCGCTTCCCACATGAACAGCCTGTATGTCACCAGCGATGTCATACTCTTTCACAGCTGCTTCCAGACGGTCATGACCAGTCAAGACAACTAAAACAAGTGGGTTCCAATTTGCCCAAACCCGAAGCCAATCGACTCTCAACTTCTCGACACGTCCTTCCGACCACGCGTCAAATTCACCTGATGCTGGCCCAGACAGAAGCAGTCACTGAGCAAAACGACTCTGACAGATGTCGAAATGCTGATACGTATCTTGACGTACCTGGCTTTTGATTGGATGTGCTCTAAACCGCCCTGGGGCCCTGAAGTCGTCCTGAGATTCTGACGGCATCGGAACGTATGTCAACCCCAACCACCAAAAACCTTTGTGGTGGAACAGTTATCATTATCGTGTTTCCACGAATGTGACTGAATTGCAGATGTTATTGTATGTCCGAACACTTATCAATACTGTTGCTATTCCTAATTACCTTTACTTCTCTTATCACTATTACACTCACCCTCAATAATACAACGATTACCCTCAGGATTATCATCATCAGAGTAGTGAATATTCGGCATAAGAAGCATCACAATATATCACAATCATAGCAATATCCACCATATGCACCATCATGATCATGATAGCAGTAGCAATACTAATACTAATATTACTAGGACTGGTGATCGCGGTGGTAATACTAGGCCAACCATATGGTACTACCCATGCCAGGCACAGCGATCTCTGCAGCCAGTTCCGCAGGGCGTTGGGAAGTGGCCCTTCAGGGGCTGTGTGGCTGGATCCTAAACTTGGGCCTTGAGATTTCACTTATGCAGCAAACACTGCAACAGGTAGTGTAGCTTCCGGGGCTGAGTCTTTAGAGGTCAGGTTTTTAGATGTTGGGATTTTATATGAAGGCGTGCTTTCGTCCAGATCCACAGCGTAACGCGACCTGCCAAGTCAGAGCCAGTAGACTTGGCGAGTAACCCTGACACCATGGTTTCGGGCTTAGCGCTGAAGCGCAAAGATGCCTTCTAACAGCTTTTCTTGCCGAAATGAGCTGAAATTGTGGGCGCTACACCTTGAGCCCTAAGATCACGGCTGGAAGGTCTTGTTCCTGTGCCATACCCTCACATACGCATTATACATGTCTGTGTATACACATACAGCTTTGTGCACACAGGCGGAAGAGAGTGTAGCAAGTTGCCGTCTGCTGCAAGGTCAAGAATCATGGAATGCAACATAATGCAACCGCCACTCGCCTTAGGTTTGGGCAACGTCGTGTGGTGGTAAGCCGTGCAACAATCAGGTGGTATGGCAGCCGCGCGCCTGCCACAGGACGAGCCCGACATTGCATTGCTTGGTTACATTGAATCATTGGAGGCTTGGTCTGGGGATCAGGGCGGCGCAGTATGCGCAGTTGAATCTGGATGTGATTAGGATAGTAAATGTACGGTTTAGGGCAAGCAGTCGTACTACTGCTAGAAGTGCCGCCTTGTTCGAGCTTCTGACTTTCTGACTTTCCCGCAAGCCCAGATTTGAAAACGGGAGCCTTCGGTGTCCTGCAGGGTGCGGAAACAAACCACGAAGCACTTCGTTGCTTTCTTCCGACCCCAACGACAGTCCTCCCTCCGAAACCCCGTTCCTTATCCACTGGCTGCTCTGTTGAGGCGCCGTGTCACAACCTGCGGAAGCTAGACTCACCAGAACCCGCAAAGTCCTCCACGCGAAAAGATTTGAACGAAGTGTCATGAACTTCACGCATCCTTTGTTTCGAGTTTCACTGGCAGTTGCCTTCCTACATTCACTGGTGGAGCGAGTGTTAGTTGTTTCTGAATGAGGATCGTTTCTTGCAAGCCAAGGCTATCAAACGTCAAGACTTAACCGTACTAGCCTGTGCGGGGACATCCTTGCAGGAGGTCCGGCGCAGCTTATCTTTATATATCCAAGTAATAGTATCTGTATAGCTACCTATTTAGATGTCTGTATACCTATATATCCATTTACAGACATATATATATATATATATGTAAGTTAATATTGCGTATGTGTGTATATACATATATGGTTCCATAGACCTTTTCAAGGCCGCCACACGGATCTTAAACCCACACCGGGCATTTGCCCTGAGGATGTACTGCATGAGTTTCAATGTCTATGTACCTCGTCCTGTTGAAGGCTTTGTTTTGCGTGGGAAAGAGTTTCTATGCCACAATCCTGCCGGACAGGACGTGATAGCCTTTACCAGCGCCATGGACGCCTGTGCCGGAGCTGCGTGCACGAAGGGGCCATGTCCGCTTCCGGGCTTTCGCTTGTATAGTTGACGGCGTGACCTGGACCGTTGGCCAGAAATTGCCAGAATCAATGAATTGAGGAGAATCGACCTTTCCGTGTTCTGCAAAGCTTGGGAGTTTCCCTTGAAGCTCAGGCCATCCCATCTGCGTGTACCTTAGGGGGCGCTTAGCTTTGACATCCTGACGCTTGACGACTCGACCGTGCTGTTAGCCTCAAAGTAAAAGTCAAAGCAACCGCGATCGCAACGATCCTCATGGAGTTTCACATTAAAGCCCTATACAGTTCCAACGGTCGAAACACCTGCGATCAATCATCTGCCAAAGTCCTGGACTTCAAAGCCCGCAGGCGCTTCGGGCCTGAACCCGATGTGTATCGATGTGGTCAGCTCGTAGTATCCATGCCAGAGATGAAACTTGCCCTGGCCTCAAACCCTGCTCGGAGGAGCCAATCACTGGGAGGCTGTCCTGCGACTTCTCGAGGCTAGGGCCTGGTCTGATCTGTTCAGACTCGAAGACGCTCGCGCGAGAGGGTTGGATTCGCGTGCCAATGGAGTGATGAGTAATCTGAAGCTGCTGGTGCCGAATAGTTGTTGATTCGATTGTCGAGAAATCAAGCTGTCGGGACAGGGCGAACTTCGTCGTTGTTGCCTGTAGCTGATGATACCATCATCAATATGAGGTATAGGTCTTTACCGCAGGAAGCGTAGCCGCCACACTGGCAGCAATCCGCTAACTAGCAAAACGCGACGAGAAGCATATGACGACCATAGTACAGGTAGCAACCCACCCCAGAGCCCTGAACCCCGTGCCAGAATTGAGAGGACATGGAGAGCCACGCGTTGGCGCCCAACTCGCAGACCTTTGGTGCCGCTCTTGGAGCCTGCGGATGCCTCAGAGAAACTTTTGGGCTTGGCCCTTTTGATGTTCAGGGGTTCAAGAATTGGTTTCAGAAGAGGAGCGCGGCATCATCCCAGATGTGGAAAAAGATGAAAAACGACCCAAAGCCATGTGTGCGCCCCGAAGCCTCGAGCTCTTGGCCCCTTGGCTCCCCTAACCTTCAAAAGTGCTCTAGACCCTGACCCTCTCGACTCTCCGCGCCTCAGCGCTGCCATCAGAGGCATAAGATCTTGGGAATCAGCGCTGTTGCTGCTGAAGAAGATGCAGAACTGCCAGGCCGCGGGGCTTCCCGTGAAGCTCGAAGACTTTGGGGCTTTAACATGGTGTTAACTTGAGGATGTCGAGGACTTGGGGTGTTGGGTGAGATTAAAATTAAAACTCCAAGGACCAACCCGAGTCTGCGAGACGGAGGAAAAGGGCCTAATTGGGGTTGAGGTTGGGGTGGGGAAGGTTTGGGCTTCAGGAACTCCCTGGTAATGCTGACTCTGTATTTCAGGCTTGATGCCTAGGACAGTGCAGACTAAAAACTGTAGGAAGCTATCTCTAGTTCACGCTCTGTCCCTCGGAGTTTGTTCGTAGCTTTTTGCATGTTAATCCATAGCAGCTGTGGTCAGTCACACCTGTTGGTCGACAGTTGTTGCAATGTTTGCGGGAAAGTTTGTGTAGGCAAGTCTAGTCGATGTGCATCTGAGCAGCAATGCCACACAAGCCCCTCGCTTCAGCACTATTCGCTGCAGGTCGCAAGGAGTCGCAAGGAGTCGAGGAATCATATCTATGTATGTTTACAATCATATATATATATATATGTGTATATATATATATAGGTAAGTATGTTCGCGTTCGGTTTTGGGCTTTGAGGGTTCTAGGCAGATGCGAAGATCATATCATTGGCATTGTCGGCTGCAAGGTCCATCTCCGTGGCGAAGCCGGGGATTTCTCCCGGGTCGTAGAGGGGACTCTTTCCCCACCCCCGACCCCGGATACAACACTCAGATCCAGGGCCCAAGATGACACAATCAGGATGTTCTAGTAGCTCCGGAGCCTCACGGGCTTGAGGCTCGAACGGCCCTGTCTGAGTGTTCTGAGATGTCCTGAGCAAAAGCTTCAAGCAGCAGGCCTGCTTGTGCTGGGTTCATCACAGAGTATGCCGTTGAAGCAGCCGGTCGAACCATTTGGTTGGGCTTTCTGGCTTAACATCACGCCAGATGGTCCCGGACGCCCTCCACGTTGGCTCTGCACTGGAGGCACTTCGCCAGTGTGGCTGTGGCAGCTTGGCATTGGTGAAGATGTTGGAGAATTAGTAACATGGACTCAGAATCCCTTCAATGTGTCACACGCGAGTAATATGCCGCAGGTTGAGCGCTCAAGGTTAAGATTTCAACAATGGATGGGTTGTGGGTTGAGCTTGGGGGGTATGTGCTGTAGTCGTGGCGGTTTGGCGAGAGGAAGGCTTTGGCAATGGACTCGCTTGGCTTTTAGTGCCGTGATCGGAGCCACGATGGCCTTCACAGAACAAATCTCACCCGGGACCCTACACCAAAGGCACTGGCCGGCCTCCGCCGGTCAGATACAATAGTTGAACAGCAGCCACTGACATCCAGAAAAAGGGAGCAGCCATAATCGCGCTGACATGCGCGAGACGAAGATGAGCTAAGGGCAGCGTTAAAAGGCGAAGAATAAAGAAAGCTGCTCCAGGTGAAAGTGCATCCTGGCATCTGCTGACTTCCTTTCGCTCTCTTTGGGAGGCCCTTGCTCGCTAGCATGGGATTGCCAGAATGACATGACACCATAAACCCTGGTAAAATGTCGAGGGCGAAGGTCGCCTAAACCCTAAGTTCTAATTCAGGTGCGCCTTTCGAGTTTTTGCTTCGGGGTGCACATGAGGGGATGTCTCTCGGACATGAGAAAGAATCCCTCATGGGAGCCCTGACTTGTTTCGAACAGCCCTCAAATCCTCGTCAGCGAATGCTTTCCCAGATCCCGCGTAACAGTGTGAATGCTGCACGAAGCCGACGGCTGCTTGCGATAGAAGCTGCTAGTCGAGTCGCCAGAGGAGGAAGAATCAAGCCGACGGGGATTGCTTGCCTGCAAGTGCACCTGAATCTGAACCATTTTTGGCGAGCTAGGCAAGCCTGAAGAAACTCGATATGAGACATGCAGTCTTACTTGTAACAAACTTGTGTTTCGATTTCATGGCTGAGCTGAGTAACCGTTCATGGCGATGCAGTGGACAACGTGTAACATGTGTAGAAAAATCAATCCAACTTGGGGTCAACCTGTACCCGAGTCATCCTGAGTCTTCTGTTAGCAATCTACGGTAGCAGCGCGAAGGCCGAGACACCCGCAGCGCCTTTGGCCAAGTCGCCAGCCGTTGGCGGCTGCATCATTGGCTTCTGGACTTATCAGAAACGATCGTGGGATCGACGTTCTCGTGGCGATGAACACATGTATGACGATGATGGTTGATGATGGGCTTCATGAATCTGACGGAGATGATAGTGTGTAAATGTGTAACTGTGCACCGCTCGCCGGTTGATAACTCCCGTCGATGCCGCTCGTCTGCTGCATAAGTAGGATGCCCCCAAGCCGTGCACAGACATGCAATCACCCCTTCTGATAGACTGAGATCGCGATGGCAAGGTGCGCTGCCCTATACGGTGCTCAGATCGCGGTTTCCGTCATGATCAAATCTGGATCCCTGCTCTCTTCATGTCAACTTCCCTTGTTTCCGGTCTCCTCGAGCATGCTGACTGCGAAGGTTCGTGAACAATGCTGGGCATCCTCCCATCTCCTGGTGACCGTTGTCGACTGTAATCATTGTTGTCATCGTATTCACGGCTGCCACGGCTCTTTATCGTCGCTACCATCGCCCTCTTGCCTCCTCCTCCCACTACCACCACTACCACCACTACCACCACTACCACCACTACCACCACTACCACCACTACCACCACTACCACCACTACCACCACTACCACTACCACTACCACTACCACTACCACCACTACCACTACCTACCTACTACTACTACTACTACTACTACTACTACTACTACTACTACTACTACTACTACTACTACTACTACTACTACTACTACTACTACTACTACTACTACTACTACTACTACTACTACTACTACTACTACTACTACTCCTGCTACTACTACTACTACTCCTACTCCTACTCCTACTACTACTAGTAACTAGTACTAGTACTGGTACTAGTACTAGTACCACTGGTAGTACAACCACCACTGCCGCTACCACTACTCCTACTCCTACTACTGCTACCACTACTACCACTACTACCACTACCACCACCACCACCACCACCACCACCACCACCGCCACCGCCACGACGACCACCACCACTGCTGCCGCCACTGCTACGACGACGACTACTACTACCATTGCCACCACTACTACTCCTGCTGCTCCTGCTGCTGCAGCCGCTGCTGCTGCTACTACTACTGCATACTACTGCTGCTACGACGACTGCTACTACGACCACAATTGCACGGAGATTGGGTCTGGGTTGTTGCCATCTTCGGCAAGTTCCGCCGGTCTTTTGCCCTTGCTGGACTCCCAGACTCCCCGTCTCACATGCACCGAGATTAGGGGTCGGGGGTGTTACAATCTTCCGCAACGACATGTCTTTTGCCTTCCATTCCCCGTTTCATTTTAGGTTTCTGGCTGTAGTCCCAAGCTTCCCCGTCTCTCACCGAGATTGGGGTTTGTCTTGCCATCTTTCGCAAGTGCCGTGTTCTTTCGGCCTCCATTCCATTGGGGTCTGGGTTTTGCCATCTTCGCCAAGTTGTGTAGGTTTTTTTCGTTGTAGGGAACCCTTAGCAGTTTTCTTCCCTGTCGCGCACCGAGATGGGTGTCTGGGTTTTTGCAATCTTCCCCAAGTTCCCTGTCTCGCACCGAGATTGGGGTCTGGCAGTTCCATAGATCTTTTCGTTGTAGGCAGGGTTCTTCCCTGTCTCGCTCCGCGAAAAGTGCTTTGGATCGTCGCAGCCTTCCACAAGTTTCGTAGGTCTTTCGCCTTCCATTCGCCGCTGTAGGGTTCTTGCGGCAGTCCCCGACCTCCCGTCTCGCACCGAGATTTGCGGTTCTGGGCCCATTCTACGTCATTGTAGGTTTGTTCCTGTAACTGTAATCCCAATCATCCCCTCTTTCGCACCAACTTTGGTGGTCGGTGCCGTTGCCATCTTATGCAAGGACCGCCATTTTCTATTTTTGGTTTTGCAATGCCAGACCGCTTGGTACCGTGCTGTTTGAGATTTGGGTTGTTTTCCGCGTGTTCCGTAAGCTGTTCTCCTTCCATTTTCCTTCTTAGTTGTAGAGGTCTGCCCGTTCTTTTTTCTGACTTGATTCTTGGCTGCGTTATAGATACACACCTTCTCGGACCTCCCGTATCGCTCTCGGAGAGTGGCTTTGACGAGTATGCAGCCGCTCGGAGATGCTTGGGGGAAATGGGTTGACGACCGCAGTAACGTCCTCCTCCTCCTCCTCCTCTTCCTCCTCCTCCTCCTCCTACGACCTACGACTTACTACTCACTAGTGTACTCATTACTTACAGCTACGACCCCGGCTACCACTCGCACTACGGCTGCGACTATCACAACGACGACCACCCCCACCACTAGCTGCTGAGCCGTTTTGATCTCCTCCAAGGTGCAGCGCCCGGGCTCGTGGCGCTAAATAAGCCGCCGGACCCGGGCTCATTCTGCGGGTCTAGCTTGACGTTTTGAGTTGTACAAGCTTGGATGTTTGGGGTTATGGAGGATTGTCGTTGAGGCTCCTATTGGAGCAGGGCTATCTGGGTGTGCTATCGTTTCCTTTCCACATTTTGTTGAGGCTAGGAACTTAATGAACTTGTTTCTGGGTTGTTGCGGCTAATGCTTTGAGAATTGATCTCTTGAGGACTCGGAGTTTTCAACAACCCCATTGTTGAGGTTTGTTTCGTTTAGAGCTTAGAGGTCCTTGGCCTACGTGCATGCCGTTGGGTCGCAACAGGAACAACCGGCATGCTTTCCGCCAGTAGGCCAGTGGTCAGTGGAGTGCTACAGCGTTCGCCGTTCCCCGGCAAGACTTCAAGAGGCCTGGATGCAAAAAGGCCCAGTAGGCCTCAAAAGTCTGAGCGAGAAGCCCATGTTTACAGACAAAACAAACTGTGACAGCACACAAATCCCAAAACCCTGAAGTGAAACTCTTACAGCCCTGCCGGGATCAAACCCCAATCGCCAAGACCCCACACCTAAAGAGCCCCAGACACGACAAGCCCTTGGCAAGGACGTCTCCACGGAGTCAGTTCTGGCAGACCTGGCCCAGCAGCTTCAGGCAGGACTCTTAGGGATTCAGGCGTCCGGATTTCAGGAGCTACCCAAAAAATTCGAAAACGCGCCCCATCAGTTTGAAGCTTCGAAGACTGAGAAATCAGCTTGCGGCGCTTCAGGGTGAAATCACTTCAGGGTATCTGCTTGTAATTTTCCGTGGGAGTTCCAGGCTGGCCTGACACGTTAACACAATCACGCTCAACGGTTTATGCCAGGGCCCTTTTGCAAGAGTGCCAGAGAGCACAAAGCGCTTAGCACACTTCTTAGGTTTCTGTATACTGTGAATATCCCTAGTTTTTGAATATCAGACGTAGTACGTTTGCCGAAGCTCAGGTGTCCTTTGCCAGTTTGGGTGCCCTCTCGCGCCTTGACCATCCCACCTCGGGAGTGCTCCCGGTCTGCCTGGCTGCTGAAGGCATTGGGTTTGGATGGCAAGTTGGGATTTTGAGATTAAGGATGGGAGAGCCCGGCGCCTGCCACATGCTTTCTCTAGGTCTCAAGAGCCCTAGGAATGAACAAACAGAGAGAGTTGTACAGCCTCGAGTACGGGGTGAAGGTTTTCCAACACGTGCGAGACTCCACCGTTGACTCGCAAACTCAAGCTAATTAAAGCACGGTCAAAAGCCATAGCCTACTACAGACACCCTCCGTTAACCTTTGCCTGAGAAGCCCTTTCCGGTGCGATCCGCACCCTCGGCGATACAAGCTACATGCAAGCCCCAAAGCTACCCCGAAACCCCGAACGAACGAAGTATCCTTGAAGCCCCAACGACCCTGAACTGCTGTAGCATTCAAACTCGAAGGTAGGTTTCACCTTTTCACCTCCAACCGACGCAGAATCTCGACTGACATGTGCGAGAACAAGTGCCTCCAAAACGCGTGGAAGCCCAATATGCTACAGCCGGGCGGAGGCTCCGGTGCGGCTCGGTGGCTCCAGGCCCAGTTCGCCGCGCGGCTTGTGCGTAAGGACTCAAGAATCTTGTGTTGGGATTTTGGCAGATGTGGCATAGGTTAGATGCCTCAATGAAGACACTTAGCGTTCATTCAACCCTATGTAGAATATGTAGGGATCTGCACGAGTTGGAGAATCCAGAAGCTTTGGCCGTGTTGCTTGTTGGAGGTAGGTTTGGACTGTCAATTGGCCTCCAGTGAATGCAGAACTGGGTCTGCCGTGCCGGACAAGTCGTGTCCTTGAAAGGAAGATGCCTGGAAATTGCAAAATGACTCCCACAGGCTCTGGTCTAAGGTGCGTCTGTCTTTGCAGCCATAGTCGTCGTCTACCCCTAGCAGTAGCCTGCAGTCATTGCCACCAACGCCAAACTTGGCAAGCCCTTTGCAGGAGTACCGCTGCCTCTGCGAGGGTCCCTCACTGGGCCAAGTTGGGTCGATGGGCCAGGCGAGTTCTTGCGTGCAGACCATGGCTGTACCAATCGTGAAGCACGCGAAACAATTTCGAACTTGATAGCTTGGGGATTTTGAAGATTCAGGAAGCAGTCCAGGGCAACCCAAGACCCTAATCAGTCCAGGAGGTCAGCGTTAACCAGGTTTAGCGCCAAGTCGAAACACAGTCTGTGTGCGGTTATCATGGTCATTCTAGCTGTATACTGCCCGGAACCTTATGATACCTTTATGCTATAGGGCCAAGTTGTGTCCCATAAGCCGTGAGTCTGTTTGTTGTTTCATCTTGCGCAGAAGAGGCAGAAGAGGATGAGCTGCGTCGTTTGAGAGCGAAACCAGACACCCTCGACCAGGATCGCCTCCATCAGCCCGAAACACATATGTAAAGGTTGACAGGCCACTCTTCACCGACGAGCTCAAACAAGGCGGTGAACGTACTTCAGCGACTCGGCAAAAGTCTGTGGGATAGGTTTGTGCCTTCCGAGGTCTGGCTGAGCAGGATTTTCCATCTCTTTCGCTTGAGCTCATCTTTGTGCGGAGTTGTGTGGGAGTGGCTTGCCGGGTTGAGGGAGCTTGTCCAAGCTCCCGTTTCAATGGCACATCTTCAAAGAAGCAGAGCCCTAAGTTGTCATCCAGTGCCAGAGACTGGAGGCTCCGAAAAGCAGGTATCGAGCTGGGGCGCTTCCTCGGATCGATTTCTAACCCAGAAAGCGGTCATGTCAAAGGCCTCTTGAAACCACCACCTGACACTGAATACCAACCCCAAGCAGAAGACGGTACGCGATAAAGTGCTTTCCCACCGCTCGAACCAAAAGCACCAAATCAGGTGGACCTTGTGAAAGGACGCCGAGCTAGCACAGAGTACGAGGTCCTGCATAGGCCCTCCGCCGGCAACAGCTTCAACAACGTTTGTAGTAGCAGTAGTAGCACTAGTAGCGCTAGTAGCACTAGTAGCACTAGTAGCACTAGTAGCAGTAGCAGTAGCAGTAGCAGTAGCAGTAGCAGTAGCAGTAGCAGTAGGAGTAGGAGTAGTAGTAGTAGTAGTAGTAGTAGTAGTAGTAGTAGTAGTAGTAGTAGTAGTAGTGGTAGTAGTAGTGGTAGTAGTAGTAGTAGTAGTAGTAGTAGTAGTAGTAGTAGTAGTAGTAGTAGTGTAGTCGTCGTCGTCGTAGTGCTCGTGGGTTACTGCAGTGTTAGCTAGAATGCTCGAATAAGCCTGCGGAGAATAGCAACACTGCTAGTGACCACTTAAGAACTTAAGAAGAATAGCGATCTTCATCACAATAGTCCTAGTCGTCATAGTAGTAGTACCAATAATAACAGTCACAACCAGACGAATAACAAGAACAAGAAGCATCGCAGTCAATAGCCTATAGCCATGCCATACATATTGGCGGTATGAACATAATACCAAAATCAGTGCTTGGCATGTGCTTCCATTTTCTTGTGCTGTGGGCTATTTGCTTAAACATCTCGAGAAGTTCAGAAACAAGCGCCGGAGCTTCGCATTTGGCTTTCCCTGAAGATGTATTGAAATTAAGCACGGGTACACGGACGTGGGCTTCAGCAGAGGTAGGCCTGAGAACCTGGATGAGATTTCAGAGTCATGTTTCGGTCAGTGCAGATGATGCTTGCCGTGCTAGGTCCTTAGCTGGCTTTGTCTTGGTTTACACAGATTGCCAGATCATAGTCTGTTGTTTGTATGCACCAGGTTTGCTGTCAGAGCCGAGACCATGCCCCCACCCATCCGGCACGCTCAAGGGTCACGACTCTTCTAGAATTCTTCGGCCCCGGTGTTCTTTCGATGTCCCTCTTGGGGCTGCAAGGTACCGCTCCAAAAAGCATCCCGCTGAGGCCTGGCCATGCGGATTGGGCCATAATCTGCGGGATTGAGAGTTTGCATCACCTGGTAACGTGCTTACATTTAGATTAGTTATTGTTTGCACTACACGGCCGTGCAGGTGTAAAGGATTCTGGCTGACGAACCCGAGTATGACAGACAGAGAGAGAGAGAGAGAGAGAGAGAGAGAGAGAGGGGGAGAGAGACCGCGAGAGAGAGAGAGAGAGAGGGAGGGAGAGAGAGAGAGAGAGAGAGAGAGAGAGAGAGAGAAGGGGGGAGAGAGACCGCGAGAGAGAGAGAGAGAGAGAGCGAGAGAGAGAGAGAGGGGGAGAGAGACCGCGAGAGAGAGAGAGAGAGAGAGAGAGAGAGAGAGAGAGGGGGAGAGAGACCGCGAGAGAGACAGAGAGAGATAGAACACAAGGGAAAATTCAGCGAACTTTCACATCCTCCCAAAGCCTCAGTAAACTGGGGGACGCTGGTGGCCGGGGGACCTGTCTCGTCCCCTAAGCTCTGCGGAAGAAGATAGAATACTGGACGAGAGCCACAAACCCTGACGCCGTAGGAGTGCCGCAATATTTCTCAGGAGCTGATGCTCCTTTGCGCTCGTCCCCTCACGGGTCGGACCCACCAAATCCGAGTGCCTTGGTCTCTGGCTTCAGCGTTTCGTGGTTTTGGGTTGTAGTACGGGTTTACAGCATCTCGAAGCTTGAGGTGGCAGCTTCGGAGTCCTAGAGCTCCGTATTGACAGGCGATGTTGGGCCTTCGAAACCCCAAAAGGAAGTTCATCCAACCAAGACCAGATATTCAAGTCGGAGGTGCACCTCGCCAGTCTGGGTCGGCCGATCCTCGGCGACCTCAGCCACCGAGTCATATGAGACATCTGGGAGGGGAGGGGGTTCTTCGTTTTAGGCTACGAGGAGCGGATGTAGAGCGGATGCAGAAGAGGCCTATGAAAGCATTTAGGAGAAGGCGGACGCAGCGTCGAAGTTTTGCGGAAATTGGGGTTGGAGATGCATGTATGTACTGTACTGCACTGCAGCGCAGTGCAATGTAATGCAGTCTAATGTGTTTAATGTATGTATGTATGCATGCATGTATGTATGTATGTGTGCGTGTTTGTGTGTGTTTCGTGACCTCACGGGATAGCTACGAAGGAACTAATGTGTATGTATGTGGGAGAGCCCATGTGTTTGTTTATAGTGGATGCTTTCGTTTTCTGCATGGTCCCTTCGGACGCATGCAGAGCTTATTGGCTTATTGTCCGAGCAACTAACACTGAAAAATCGAAGGCACGGGCTACGCAAGCTTTTATGTTGGAAGGTACTTTCTCGGGCATGTTCATGTTCGGACATTGCTTCTTTGTGAGTTGCATCAAAACCCTACTTATCAGATAGCAGCGGCAAAGCGAGGGCAGTGTGCCTCCTGCTGTATTTGTTAGTACACAGGCATAGTAAGTTGCGTCTTCCTCTTTGTCTCTTCACTTGTTTGTACTGCGGCGTCTTATGAGGCGTCGATGCGATATTCGGTGACCCCGAGGTTGCTAGACGCTTCACAGAGTGTATTCGAGCCGATAAACAGCACAGGTAGCGCAACAGGCAGGCGAGGGAGAATGTTGATGCTGTTATGCAGGCGAATCTGTAATACTACCCTATACAGAATACTATAAGAAACGGCGGGAAGCCGCTAAGCTAATCACTCGAGTTGATTTCGACAGATGATCGGTGAGTACGACAGTACGACAGAAACTGCACGAGGGAGGGAGGGATAGAGAGAGAGAGAGAGAGAAAGAAAGAGTGAGAGAAGAAGAGGGAGGGAGGGAGAGACAGCAACAGATGTAGCAAAACGTTGCCGGCAATCGAGAAGCAAGGTTATGGCCTGCGCAGCAAGTCCGCCCTCCCCACGCAACGCCTTTTCCTCCATTGCTTCCGGGTGCAGCTGCGGGACGCTTGAGCTTTCTTAAGATGTGATGTCGGTTTCGGATTCTGGGATTTTCTGACTATTACTGACGGCCCGGCGTCATTTCCCTGGGATGCGCATGAACCTGCTTTCTTATCCCCAGAGCCAAACCTCCAGAGACCGGCACGGGCTGACAGAGCTGAGGACGCATCTGGAAGCACGTTCACAGCGGAAGCGCAGCTTCCGCCGGACTTGCTGCAGATTTTGCAGTCTTTGACTGCTCTTTGAGCCAAAGCTCAACTTCGAAAACGATGCTGTGAAATCTTGATTTAGCACCGAAAGTCCACAGCCCAGCAGCTCTGAGCCCAAGAAGCTCGAATGCCCGAAAACCTCCGCCGTTCAGCGATTCTGTCCGGGTTGACTCCAGGTGTCGACTCCCTTTCAGGATACGACAAGATATGAACCCAGGAGCCCACTGACCGTACCCAATTTTAGTAGCTACATACTTACTTGATTAAGAAGCCACTCTCAGCAATTTGGTGAACATGAGCAAGATAGAGAATCAGACCAAGAGAAACGCAAAGAGAGAGAGAGAGAGAGGGAGGGAGACGTATGCCCGAGAGAGAGAGAGAGAGAGAAAGACGTATGCATACATGCATGCATACATACACACATGTATACATACATACATGCATACATGTATAAAACTGTGTGTGTATGTGTATATATATATATATATATATATATGAGTTTCATTCATGGACTCGCTCGTATTTTCATCTTGTTATTGACGTGTGTATATATATACATATATATATATATATATATATTTATTTGTTTGTTTACTTATGTGTATACAACTTATTGTGCGATGAGGTTTCAAGCCTCTAAACCCGAGGGCCTGGCGACTGGAGAGCTGGGAAATACTCCCTCTGTCGCACCAAGTCCAAAGACCCAAGACCGAGTTCGGCAACCTGTAGTAGGTAGGTTCTCTTCTGAGAAGTGCGGCTTAATCCTGGGGACTTTAACCCTAATCCTCAGCCCTAAGTCAAAAAGCCCAAAGTCAAACGGTACAGGAACTGAGTTCGTGGGTTCCTTACACGTGTAGGGGCCTTGGGTAGCCGACCTGACTGCAGCCGTCGTGGGCCACAAAAGTCAGAGGCATGTGCAGATTCAGAAGTGCTGGTAGCGGGTTTGCCTGAGCATAATTTAAACCTGGGGTGTCTGTGTGGTAGGATGCCTGCCTGGCCGGGATCCCAAGAAAACCTGCTGAATTTCCGACTTCGATTAGGCCTTCTCGAAAACATCTGCTCTGGAAGGCCTGACAAGGCAGTACCTCGAAAGGCACTTGACCCAAATCAGCCTTGGAGTCGTCCCAGATGGCCGGCACCAACCCAAAGCCCTGGCCCTGACCAGCCCTCATCTACCCTAAATGCGAGAAGCTCAGAAAGCGAGTGTCGCTGCTGTGTTCTTCAATCCCAACGCAGGTCACGATCTCTGCAGTGGCAGAGGGTCTTACGCAGGCTTCGCGGGAGGCTCCTGGATGTTTGGAGCTCAGGGCTCTTGGATCTAGCGGGTCTCTGGTTAAGGGTTGGTTGCCGGTCATTGTCTGTTGGTTTGTCGGACTTGTGAGTCAGTTGAGATTCAATCAAACGCCGCAGGCTAAGGCCATGATCAGTCGTCTAGGGTAGTCTGAAATCCTCATGAACATCCTACAAAAAATCCTAGACATGGATTGCCAGATGGGACATTTTTATGGTGATGTTCCCTGACCACATGTTCGAGGGATGGAAGTCGGCAGCAAGCCGGGTTGCCTTTGAGACCTCTTCCATCCGAGTGCGAGTTTCAAGACCCTCAGCCCAAGACAGTAGACCGGAGAATTCCGTTTGACAGAGTCCAACTCTTTTACATGCACGACATTATAGGGCAACCGCAGTCGCCGTTTCTTCTTCTTCGTCGGGTGTCGCCTTTACATCATAGTAACGCAGCCGAACCGCTCCAACTGGTAGCCCTCTGAGCCTTCAGCTGGTTTCAGGCCGTCAAAGGCTGCCTGCAACCCGTGGCCGCTTGCTTTGAGGTGTTGGCTGGGTTTCTGCTGAGCCGGAGCACCGAGGCTGTGGTTTGTTGGGTGCATTGTTGGCTGTCAGTGGTGCGGTTGAGATTCTCACTCTAACAAGTGCAGTACCATCCCCGCTATTGCCCGGGTTTTGCATCCATGACATCTCTCTCACACACACACACATACAGTCACACACCCGGTTGGGGATCTGCGGTTTAGGAGATCTGTGGGAGGATCGCGCACATGCTGGGGCGACAGGTCAGAAACAAGACATATACACGGCTCCTGCCATTCCGTAATACCAACGCGGTTGGCCGACTCTTGAATTTCCTCGGGGTGGGTTTTCATGTTTATGAGCAAAATATTCGACAAGCAGAATCTGCGACTGCAGGTCACTCGCAACATCGACAAGCTCCGAAACTCCAAATTCTATAGCTCCCAAACTCGTGGACCTCATATCCAAACCCCGAAAAACCCCGAAAAACGAGCAAGCTCCCGGTCCCCCACCCCGCACTACATCAAACCATCAATTCCTTAACGTTGCGCGGCAATCGACTTCAAATCTTCTGAAATCTACTGCCCTGAGATGCTCGAGCTTTAACAAGGGCAAGCACACAGAAAAAGAATTGCCCAACGCCTTCTAAACCTGTACAGCTGTAGCTGCGGAGTCTCGACGTTTACAAACCATTTTCGCTTCCTGGATAGGCAACTGAAAGTTTACAGAACTTAAGCTTCAGCCTCCAAGTTTAGTGGGTAGCAGGGGGCTTGGATGTCGGTGGTGTTTCATTCAATTCTTCAAGCTCTCGAGCCTGAAGAATGAAGTCATCCAAGGAATGGTTGGGCATGTTCTTGCGCACCCCTGGCACCGCGCCGGCCACACGCCCAAGAGGGGGCAGCCCAAACTTCTGACCTGTGTCCGAAAGAACTTTCAGCCGTCTAGCAGAAGCCTCGAACCCTTCGATGTATGTTAGTGATGCTAGTGAGTGATGGATGTATCTTGGCTTTGCCCAACTGTGTGTCGAAGGAGGCGAGGAGCAGGCTTTAGTGAACAAAGAGGCACGATCCTAGAATACCGCAGGAGCAAGCTGCACAGTATTTTTGTCATCACGGCACTTGCACCCCAGCAGAGATCGGAGACCTCTAAAAGCAAAAACGTGCTCTATGAGACATAATCAATGAAGGTGTCCTGTGAACTCTTTCTCCGGCTTCAGTTCGGGTCCATGCATTGACTGCTGATGTGCCTCCAGAGTGTCAGTGACACTGGAGCCTGGCAGGCGGTGCTGCGCTGAACAGTTTGCTCCTACACCCCATGCAGCCTGTCAGTAGCTTCCCCCCTGCAGGAGCCTCAGGCCCGCAGGCCCCCATCCCAAGTCTTAGGCCTACATCCTCAATGCCATCTTTCAGAGCCGGTCGTTGAAGCTTGGTAGCATCAAGAGAGAGGCTTCAGGGCTTCTGGGGTTGGCCGGACATTTCAGAGGCGTTTTTGAGGGCTGAGCTTTCGTGACTTGGAAGAGAAGTTCAGGTCTGCGGCTTGAAGTGGCCATGTGCAGCCTTGCGAGGCCCTTCAGAAGGCTGAGCCCAGGTCTGACAGCTCTTCGAAAGTCCGAGTTTGAAAGCTACCAACTCTACAAACCTGACAAAGATAGGTCAGTCGGATGCCAGGAAGTATTTCGACTACGACTACCAGCGCCAAGATGCCAGGGCCTCAGGGCCTTACCAGAACTCTCACTTGTCGTCTCTTGATCCATAACCTGTTCAACCAAGACATATGTGACAGAACAATAAAGCTCCCAACTCCACACCTTGAAGTGGGCATGACTTCTTGCAACTGTGCAGGGCCCCTTGACTCTGGAACCCGCAGCGGGCGGGAGTTTAACATGTAAGTATTTAACCCATCGCAGCGTCGAAGGGATTACCGGATATGCAACATCCAGGGTCTGTGGCGGCTATCGTTGAGGTCCGGGGTTTGAAAGAATCCCATCCCGCAACGTCACAGACGACGATTTTGAGACTTGTTCTACACTCGGATGCAGGCTTAAGAGTCGGGAAAGATGGAGGCTGTTCAGGGCAGGGTCTCTTACTTTGTCAGCTGCAGGAACTGGCGAATGACTCCAAGCTGTATGATCTCGCGCAAGCTATCAGCGTCCGTTGCCTTGTGCTGTCCTTCAGTCCCGCGACTTGTCAATGCAGGCGAACATGGCCCATTTCGGCAACTCCTCACACATCAACGTCGAGGAGGGGATGTCTTACGAGGACCGAACCGCTGGCAAGATTTTGCATTGCCCTTGCGAAGGGGGATCTCAGGGATTGGAGTTTGCGGCTCAGTGCCAAAGATTCTGCGAACCAAAGGGCTCATGGCATAAGATCAGATTGAAGATGTGACTATAACTATACCCTCAAATGCTAAAGCATCCCACAGCACTTCAGTGCCGAAGCTGCTTTGACATTGGCGGCTTGGCATACCCTTGCGCTTCCATGAACAGAAATGGACAATCCGAAAAGGAGTCACCGGGGTGCAGTGAAATGCTGTCAGGCCCTCCAAATCCAACCTCCGGAAACCGCTCTAAACCTTGAAGCCCGCAATAAGCAAGTTTTGTCCTGGCACAGTTTTGGAATCCATGTCACTCGACATGTTCTAACCAGGAGCAATTCCATCCAACAAGGACTGTGCCTAAAAACGCTACTGATAGTCATGCTACCCGAGCCAACAGAAGAGCACTTCTGTTTGGACATGCGCATGCACCATATTAGTTTGTGAGGGCGCTTGACTCCCTCACGGCATGCATTTGCACTTTCTTCGCATGTGCTTTCTACTGGCAGCAATCAGGGATGAGCATGTACAGCGGACTTCGGGGATCACATTCGCCACTTCGCCGCTTAACCTGTGAAACAACAATCCTGAGGCACGGGGGGTGTCAGAGGGCAGGAGATGCCTCTGCCCGAAAATAGTATGCCAACGCCGAGCTCGACTCGAGGGCATTATGTTTCTGAACCTTGAGAATAGACAATACAGATTTGGGATTCGACCGACTTGGCACTTGCTTTGGCACATGTCTTTACTTCCAGAGTCAAGTGATTCCATCACTTCTGATTCCCTGGCGTGACGTGTACATCCGTCGTCCATCGCCAGCCATGACTTCGGCTGCGTGCGAGTGGTTTTGTATCTCTTCTGCAGGAATTTGAGGCCTATTTCGACAATCGCCAGAAGCTAGGCTGGAGCTGCGGGCCG